TATAAATATTATTTATAAAAAGAAAATATTCAAAATGATGACAATAATGATGCTTCACCATTGCCGAAATCTTCAACCAGAAATCAAAATCAAAGTACTTTATTAAAATTATTTAATTTTATATAGTATTATTATTAATAAACTAAAATATTTTATCAAGGAAGTGTTACATTTGGAGATGAAGCAGGTAATTCTTCAATATCTCATGTAGCAACAAATATATTAGATATGCTATCAGAAAATGATAATGAAGATAACGATGATAGCCAATATAATGATATATATGGTTTACATAATAATTATTGTTAGTATTAAAATTATTATATTAATTTTTATTATTATATATATACTATGTATACTAAACTAAACCAAATTATAATAGCAATTTCAAGTAACAAATATAATGATAATGATAATGAAGAATTTCAATCGGGTATTTGTTTATTGAGCATAGATCTGTTATTAGTTAAATACTAAATTTAATAGTATAATCCATTGGGTATTCATTAAAATTAATTGAAAAATAGATAATGGGATCTAGGCTTTATAAATTATTTAGAAATTATTAATATATTATTAATATTTAATTTTTTTTTTTTTTTTTAAACTCTTTGACAGTCTTGTCGGTACCTTTATTACTAGATAATTACTTTTACATATGTTATTACATATGTTATTTATCTATACTAAAATAAATAGGTCCAGTATCATCCGGTTGCTTCTTGAGTACCTAGATGCGACCTGTCACACTACTCTACACATAGAGCAGAAGATATTGTCAGCCCCATTAAGAGCCATTAATATTTAATTTGTTAACTTTTTATATTATTATAAGCTAACTCATTAACAGCAATTTCAAGTAACGAGCATATTGAAGAATTCCAATCGGGTATATTAGTATTTATCTATTGAGCTTGGATATGCTAATTTTTAATACGGTATATGCTGTGAAAAGGGGCAAAATTGATAAAAAAAAGAGATCTTCATAAATCATAAGAAAACACGAACGTTAAGAAGCTATATTGCAAATTTTTATTAACTTAATTACTTTTGTGTCTTAAGTGAAAAACAATTCTAATCTTATTTAAAATTGATTTATGTAAAAGTTCAATTTTGTTCCTTTTGCAGAACCTAGCCCATATAATATATATATAATCTATTTATTATTAAATTTTAATTTATTATTTATAAAAGAAAAATCCAAAGGAAAATAACGAGAGCATGAAGTTACTCAAATTCTAGCAGAATTTGACGGGATGAATAATATTTTAGAAATATGCAGTTGGCTAGTAAAACATCTATTTATATTACAGTTAGCTAACCAAATATATACGGCATTCTCATCACCAATCGAAAATGTTTGTACTTTTATTTAATCGTCAATGCCTTCATCTGCAATTTTGGCAAGAATGGTTAATAATAGAGTAAGATTTATGATATAATTTATTTTTCTTTTAAAAAAATTTATTTATTTTTTTTTTTATATTAAAGGTGAGACCTTGCTCTTATCTTTATTAGATTTAACAAAAACTTTTTACATGTCCGGAAAATGTTTTATTACT